CATGTTTTGACCGATGCAATAACATACTATACGTATATGTCCATGCTATTGGTTTATTCTTCTTCATATAATGCAAGTCAGAGTTGGGCTGGTTAATGATAATTTAATTATCGATACTGTAATATTGAAGCGAACAATGTCTGATTTGTTCGCTTTATGGCCGAACTTCTCCAAGATTTTGCAACTTGGTTAAACTGTCTTATTGCTATCTGATGGATTCATGTGCGCGGGATAAAGTCGCAGGAGACTTTGGTTTGAGAGAACATGATGACGTAGCGTTATTTTTTCACCTCCTGAAATCCTGATGCGGAATTACAATGCAACATCTTTAATGCGCATGATATTCATGTGCGGAACATTATTGAAAGACCGCGAAGTTACGGCTAAGTAAGAAAAACGCACAGTGCAGAACTATGGCTTATCATGACTGTATAGTCTTATTAGCATTTTAAGAACTTTTAACATTAATTATAACATGACTCCGATAGTCTGATAGAAATAGTGGAATATGATATCTCAAACATGGCAGCCATTAAAACGGTTCGAGCCATGAAACGCATGTGGATATCGATGTTCCGACCCGGGCATTTGATTAGGATACATATTGATTGTCCATTTCAGATGTGCATTTCGTGAAATAGATACAATCTTGTACAAGTTGAATTTCATCCGATGACGTCACATTGTTAACACTGCTCGCATTGCCAGATTTTGCTTTCGTGGAAATGTCTATTTTTGTGTTTTATGCTCATCATGTTGCGTTTATTTTTGACATGATAATCTAGATAAAGTCTAGAAATTCTAGACACCATAACAGTCTTTACCAAAGCTAATATGATATTGCCTGGATTGTAATAGGACTGACTTTGAACCATGCAAAAAGATGTAATCTATCGGCCTGTGACCATGGTAACGATGATTTACAGTTTGTTTCCAGATAAAAAAAAAAAAAACATTTTAAAAACAAATTTTAAAGCAATGAATTATACATATTTTGTGCAAATGATATTTGATACTGAGAAATGATATTTATATAAAATGCACGATACGTTTACTACTTTTTGTACCTAGGTAATAACATTGCGTACGGATTACTTCTTACGATCATGGAGTGGCATACAGCAAGCCTATTCTTTCCCAGAACCTGCACTTGTTTTAAAATCAAAAGAAAAAAGGACTGCAATACCAGCTGGAGGTTGTTAAAACTGCACAAACTTACACGTTTAATTAAATAGTAGAACTTTACTTAAGACAGTGTTAATAGTGGGCAGCACGAATTTATATATAACTTCTGATGATTTGCTTGTACTTAAACATGTTATCTTCCTGTTACTATCAATCCATCCCAGAATTCTTTTGTCGGGTCGCATGGTTCAGACAGTTGACTGCCTGCCTATAAGCAGACTGTTTGTGGCCGATATGGTATGCGTCAATATGCTAAGTTTTCTTTCAGACGTCTGATATGGTATTTTGGTTTAAATGACATTTGATGAAGTGTTCTTGAATCTTGATTCTCAACAACATTAAACACATAGCAAGGTCTCTTTTTTTTCCAGAGTGGTATTGTTTTGAATGCGGCCATTTGCTTATTATTTCCAAATCGTGTTCGAATAGTTCTAATTTAGTGACGTTAATCGAATATAATGACTACAGTATTTCAATGACAAGTAATAATAGAGATAAATATTTCTTTCTTTGATGACGACAACTAATTAGTCTATATAGCTTAAGTAGTAAAACACAGTTAGTCTGGGTGGTCGGCAAGGCTCCCTGCTGAATTGGTTGTTTTCGTAATAAGTGTCAGTGTTTTTTAGATACGTCTAGGTGAATCTGCCAGAACGAGACCTTATTGTTGTTGAGGTTACCGGTATTTGCAGGTGTGATACAGATAGTTACCGTAAACATGACAAGGGATCATTCCCCACAACACACGTTAAACCCATCGGATCACCCGGATATAACAATGCACAAATAACGAGCGTTGTTCTGGGACGTACTGTGATGATGGTCGGCTGTTTGAAGAACAATACTTTTCAGCCATCCTGTCACTGTATCAGTACCTTGTCAGCTTAGGAAAACCTGAAGCAAGCTAGAAGCAAGCTAGAATGTGTACGTCCACATTTTGAAAAGTTGTCGTGTCTTTCAGTGTTGTATCGAACTATTATCTTATATGTGCATGACCCTATTGTATAGGTACAAGAATTTGGCGGTAAAGCACTTTTATTTCTCCAACGTGGACAATTAAGAATTAGCAGGGAAGTTATGTAAGAGAATGTTTGAGTAACCTTAATAAAGAAAAGGAAAAAAAATAAAAATAATTTCAGTTTTGATAATGCAGAAATACCTGTCCTTTTGTTTATAACGGCATTAAAATTAAAAAAAGACGCATATACATTGATGTTAATCAGATTGATCATATACATGAATTTCCATTCTGACAACGGACTTTTGATCTGATATGCGTCTGTGAAATAACGATAACAGCACATGATATTTTTATAACTCATCCTGTAATTGGAAAGCATTCAATGAAACGTTGACAAGAGACTCGAACAAAAACAAGGTTGAAATGCATCACTTTACATCTCCAACAAGCACACAGGCATACACACATAGGGAGATATTAGCCAGGTGGCATATGACTAGTAGTTAGCGCCTGATAAGGCAGCTCCTGCGAATTCCTCAAAATTGTATCGATTAATATATATGATAATTGCATTGACTGTATAAAACTGTATATCTATGTACTGTAAAGCGCTTTAGAGTGGTTTATGTTAGCTAGATAGTGTGCTTTATCAAATGGTGTTTTTTTAACATCTAAGATTTTGTGCAATTCCGTTCAAACATTGTGCTTTCCGTAGACCTTTGCCAGTATGTTTCGGGTCTCCGAAATTAGCAGACTTTTGGGCTTGAAAGGACAGGTGTATTTGATTTGTGTTTTGACCTCCAAATTTCATAGAAAGTCTTATTTAAGTTCTGAAATCGCTAAATGTCGAAGGTCAACGGAAAGTCCTGAAACATATCCATGGTATATACTTAACTACGTTTGTAGGTCGTATTATACTGCACACTTTTTACCTACAAAATTTGTTAAATATTCATAGACTTTTATCAACAAAAGTGTTTGAAAGTCAGGAAGGTGTATGCTTTCGTGTTAATATAAACGTTTTATGATACGTGGATGAATGCAGCTTTCACTCGGAGGGAAATCTATTTCTTAAAATATTCAACGGAAACTACAATTTCAGCATTTATCTTAATCATATGTCACTCTTAATGGCATTTAACTCTTGGATTAAACTGTCAAATTCATAATAAAACAATTATCAGGAGACATGTATTTTGCGCTGTTTGAAGTACAGCCGTGACACGATGGGCAAGATGTGCCAAAACCCGCGAAAAGGCCAGTGATATTGACGTCATAGTAAGCGACGTGTCTGCTAAAGTAAGTTATGTCTTTTCAATCATATTCATCACCAGTTTTCCGTATTGTAATGGCTGCAAGAATCGTCCGATCCATCCTTCTTCTGACATTTGTCTGAATTATTACTAGTGGCCGATTGATAAATGAAGTTTAACAAGGTGTAACTGGAGCTGAAGAAGTGCTATTTGGCGGCACATTTCCCGGAAATTGTGAACATCTAGGGAATCTGTCAGGTCGTCCACGCCAGCTTTGTGTCGCCCTGATAGACCACGTGACACCCGCAACCTCGCTGAACACGTCACATTAATTTGAAATCTTTAGTAAATTAGTTTCAAACGTTCTGGCACAAAAACACCTTTTCTGTTGCGTTCCCACATTTTCCCGTGAGTTGATGTCACATACAAGGAACTGTTAGGCCTCATGCACGTGTATCTATCTCTATAAAGTCAATTGTCCGGAATTCGCTTTCCGTATATGTTCTTCTAACTTAAGACAGTTTGTGTCTGTCTGTTCGTCCGACTATTGTATGATAAATTGATAATCTCCGCTTATATGTTTGTCTGTGACTTGATAAGCGAAATACAACTTGATAAATCAATATTTTTAGTGTATTCAATATTTAACATACTAATACCAAGACCACCTTATCAATGTCTATCTCTTTCTACGACATTCCAGACAATTCGACCAAGGACAACTTTGTTTTCTAGATTGTTCCGGACCATTGATCAATATCTACTGTTTGCGAGGACATTCCAGACAATTCGACCAATGTAAACTGTGTTTTAGGTCATTTCGGACCATACGACCAATATTGTTTCTAGGACATTTTGGACCATACGACCAATATAACTGTTTTCTAGGTCATTCAAGACCACTGGACCGATATTGACTGTTTCTAGGACATTCCAGACCATTCGACCAAAATCACCTGTTTCTATGTCATTCTGGACCATTTAACTACTGGTAACTATTTACTAGTTCACTGAGGGCCATCCGGCCAATGTCAACCGTATTCAATGCCATTCAATTTCAATGTGGCGGTAGTGGACAGCATTCACATGTTCGTCCTTTGTAACACCGATGTAAAACGAGATTTTACTGAAGAGAGCTGCTACATTATTTACTATAAAGCCTACCCTAGCTCACATATCTTATTGTTGCGTGTATCAATTCCATCCCGTCCATTTGGCTGGGCATTAAAATATGCATGCTCTTGAAAAATTGAAAAAAAACATGCTACGTCTTTTTTCACGTTTTCTACCGGATCACGGCTTGGCCACGCATTTATCTAAATCTACGTGAAAATTCACGGGTCATCATCTTTAGATTTTAAACTAGTATGATTTCTATTTCTAGCTTCTAAATGTGTAATTTTATACTCACGCGGTGAGTAGAGTAAAGAATACAGGTTTATTCGTAAAACGACATACATGTCATATGACGGTTGTAGGAGTTTATGGATTTTCACCATGTGTTATTTCCTTTGTGGTCTTTTCTGAAACACAATACGGCTTCTAATTGGTAAACTTTATTTCAGCATTCCATTAACAAACTGTAATATAACACCTATACCATGCCTAAAAGGGCGAAAATGGCCATAAACTAAAACGTAAAAATAACAACTATTTCAGCAACGCAACACTTATCCGTCATTAAGATTCAATCCGATAGGAAGTTGTGTTCCGGTATGGTGTATGCGGCCGAACAGCCCTCGGGCGTTAGGAATCGCCGTGGATGTAGCGTGCTTCAATCCATCCTATGTCTATGACACACAATTGTACCATCATTTCAGAATCTCCAAACCGATGCCAAAAAGTTTTATTTTTACCGGCATGACAAAAGTATTAATGAACCATTTCTGAAAAAGAAATCTATATATTACAGAACTCTTATGCAGATATGATAAAGACGAAATAAACAAACGAAATCGACAGTGTTCTGAGTGTAACAACACAACGACTGTAGACCGGGATTCGAACCATGAACCCCTGATCACAATTCTGTGTCTCTAACCAACTGTGATCAATGGCCAAATCCAGCTATATCCAACATGAAATTAAGGGGAGGTTACTGTTAGTATGAACAGCTACAGTGGAATTCTTTAGTGTTTTGCTGGCAGTGGGACGGGGATCCTTAAGATTAAATATTTGTTTTCAAATAATTTTATATGGTTTTAATGTTGACCCCTCGCTCCTAAACAAAGACTAAGTAGTATATTCATGACTCTGTGGGGACATCTGGTCCTAAACCCGATATAATTGTAACGAATATCAATCTATTTTAAACATGTTATCCAATTAAAACGTTTTGTAAGGGTTCTGTCGTCATCGCCTACCTTTAATTGCATAATAAACTGCGTTTTACGGATTGATTTAATAGAAAACAGCAGTTGATCTAACGTTGCTGGGCTGCATCCTAAGGATCTCTGCGGAAGGATATTTGTTTCCTGCCTGTTTACAACTGGTGCGTAGTCCGTGATAGATGTTCCGACAGATAGCGTCCCGGGGACTCGGGATTATCCTGCAATAGAAAAGGGATTTACTACCCAAGGTAGTGTGTCGCATGGAATCTCTGGTAATTAAAAAAGAGGGTCATAGTGTAGTGACATTAATTCAAGCCGTACAACACAGCGCCACCTGTCTAATGCGGGGAGAGAACTTCCGCCTAATATGTTTCGTCACACTTCCGCCCAATTGATTACAATGATTTATAAAATAAAACAAACATTTAGTATGCTTCCCTAGCGCATGTAAAACAATAGCCAGCAGCGAAAGCCACGGAGTATGATGTGAATACGACCTGTTAAGTTATGGCGATGACTAATTCAATTGGACAAATGGACCAGGTCGAGGGATGGCGTTAACTAAAAAAAAAACAAGACATCTCTCCCCGGTTAATCGTCATCCATCATCCAACACATTATGACCGTCAATTTTACCTCATTAATGGATGCATGTGACCAGGAATTCATTTGTTAACGCTCATGAATCTTATTATGACGTAACAGTTACTGCCGAGATTCTGGCGTTGTGTTATTTGCTAAGACAATTTGATGCAATCGATCTATTTGAGTTCGAAATTAGACCCATTGGAGAAGACGGGAGCTGATAAAAGCAATATATCATTTTTCTTTTTCTTTTATCGGTATTTATTCAGTATAGATCGAGGAATGGCGTCGGTAGAACACGATGCCTATTTAAACACGATACTGTTGGTAAAATATATAGGATTCAGACTAAAACAGAACCCGTTTAATTTTAACGAGAAGAAATAGACTGCACACATATATGCTGCAAATCAATTCATACTGACAAGTCTATAACTCAGAGTGGAAAACAAACTTAATTTCACTAACGTTAAGCTTTCGTTGACGTTTTGATGAAACCTCCGTTTCCACTGAAAAGGCCTGCATTACCGCCTCCATCAACTTCCTCGGAAACCCTCATTTCTAATTAAGCTTGCATTGATGCATCCATCAACTCCCTCAAAATCCCCAATTTCAATTGAAAATAAAACTGCATTGACGCCCCAACGTCTACTTCAGAAACCGTCATTTTGACTGAAGAAAATCTTTCATTGACATCTCCGTCAACTTCCTCTGAAACGCTCATTTAAAGTAACACTTCGTATTGATGGATCTGTCCAATTCTTCTAACAGTCCTCGTTTCCAATCCATCCGTATCCGTTGCCTCAATTTCACTAAAGAAAGGCTTGAATGGACGCCTTCAACGACTTCCTCTGAAACCCTCATTTCGACACCAAAAATAGATTGTATTGACACCTTTAGATATACATGTACCGACAAAAGTTTCTTCTGAAACTCCCATTTCTATAAAAATATGCTTCTATCGTCATTCTTATAGTAATTGACAAAATGCTTCCGCCGAAAGCTTTCAGTTTTACTGAAGTAAACCTACGCAGGCCTTTCCTTGAGCTCGCGGTAAGTCTTTCCTCAAACGAAGTTAATCCTCTCAAGGGGTTCCTGGTGGCCCTGATGACGTAGAAAACGCCCGGGACTGATGACGGACTGATAACAGTAGAAAACGTCGATACATTGATATAATTACTCTCGAGTCGATTAGATGATACTATCTTATCGTGGGAGATCGTAATTATTTCTATGATGAGAAAAGCAAACAATCGAATATTATATATAATCTAACCATTTTGATTAGGACTGAGACTGAAATACTCGCTGATCAATATACATGTATTTTTGTTGGTTTATATCAATATTTCATGTTCCTGTATAATGTGTAACGTGCATCAATCATCGTGTTATCAAACAAGATGGTAAGTCGTTAAACCTCACCTTTTAAATATTTCATATAGACGAAAACTTTAACGACAGAACCTATACGTGATAGATGTGAGAATCAGATTTATATATGGCGTCACGAAACCTAAAATACTCTCCGGGCGATGGTCCTTTCCGTATCATCAGCAACACGTCAATATCATGTATAGTGTACTTCAAGCTCACGAGACACCAACATCATGTACCTCGTGCTCAGGAGAGATCAACAATATCCTGTACCTAGCTGCTCGTCCTAACTAGAGATCTTCAATATCACATACCTCGTGCTCACGAGACATCCTCAATACCATGAACATCGTGCTCACGAGAGATCATCGACATCGTGTACCTTGTGCTCACGAGACATCAATATCATGTTCCTTGTACGCAAGAGATATCATTAACATCAACATCATGTACCTTGTTCTCACGAGACATTCTCAATATCACGTACCTTATCCTCAAGAGATATCATCAATATCATGTACCTTGCCCTCACGAGACATTAATTTCATGTACCTCGTTCTCACGAGACATCCTTAATATCATGTACCTCGTGCTCACGAGACAGCAATATCATGTACCTTACCCTCACGAGACATTAACATCATGTACCTCGTGCTCACGAGAAATCCTCAATAGCATGTACCTCGTGCTCACGAGAAATCCTCAATAGCATGTACCTCGTGCTCACGAGACATCAATATCATGTACCTTGTGCTCATGAGATATATACATTTTCGCAAATTATATAACAACCCAACCCTCACACCTCTTTCCCTTCTTCTGGAGCTATACCACGCCTCATCTCTGGTTACAAAAACAACCTTATACCAACCAAAGGTTTACCCCCAAACAGGTTTCTTTATCTAACATTCCTCCATATCCATATAACACTGTTACGGCTGTGTTAAACACTGGAATACGGAAGATTGGAAACGGGAAAATATAGAAGGACGTGAGGCCATGGTAGGAACCTGTCAGTTGAAATATTTCCCCGAATTATCATAAAGTCAATTCGCCTTGTTCAATAGCTTCATTTATATTCATTCATTCAGATCCAAGTAAATCATTAACAACACCAGTGCTATTGCGTTTCTGATCTCCTTCATCAAATCGCTCAATCCGTGGGGCCGTGCCCAGTCCTCACGAGACTGTAGCATGCAATTCGATGTACGTCAGTAAGGAAGACATGTAATGAAAGTGTTAAGAATTAATGTTTGGTTCGTCGTAAGGTGTTATTCCCCAGGGGTTGTCTACCGAGTCGATAGCACGTGTTTTCGGCTACACTCGGGGTGGAAGAGCACCGGCTTTGAGAGCCACGCTCTCTACACGCCAAGGACAAAAGGTCAAAATTGTTTATAGTTAGGCAACAAACATGAAATACATTTTTCAGATGAGTTGAATTGTTTTCTTCAGAGTAAACACAAAGGTCACATTCTGTCGGTGACACAAGTAGCTTGTAGAAAACTGAAATTAATTTGAATGTTTTAAGAGACATGAAACGTAATGCCTCCGTGAGGGTACATTAATATCATTTAATATAGTCCCTGACCGGATGTGCTACGTGGAGTGAAGTTGCACGACTATCGAAGGATTTATAGAAGACAGCTGAGCGAGTTGTGTAACTGTGAAAGTTACAGTAAATGTAAGCAACACAACAATCCTATAGCCATAACATACACAACACAACAATCATATAGTCATAACATACACAACACAACAATCATATAGTCATAACATACACAACACAACAATCCTATAGTCATAACATACACAACACAACAATCATATAGTCATAACATACACAACACAACAATCATATAGTCATAACATACACAACACAGCAATCCTATAGTCATAACATGCACAACACAACAATTATATAGTCATAACACGCACAACACAACAATCATATAGTCATAACATACACAACACAACAATCCCATAGTCATAACATGCACAACACAACAATTATATAGTCATAACATGCACAACACAACAATCCCGTAGTCATAATACGCACAACACAACAATCCTATAGTCATAACATGCACAACACAACAATTCTACATCATAACATACACAACACAGCAACTCTATGGTTGTTACATACACAACATAACAATCATATAGTCACTACATTCACAAAAAATCTAGTGTTATTGTGTCGCCTAGTTTAAACATATTTTATTGTACAAATATACAAATGGATTGGACAACAAGTTATTACAACTTAATAAAGTCCTCTCTTAAATACATATGGTAAATACAATGTATATGTTTTTGTGGAACGAGAGGAGGGTAGGGTGGAAAAGGAAGGGGTGGGTGGGGGTTGATAGGGGATGGGGGTTACCTAGAAAAAGAATCGTGTAAAATGTGAAATTGTATACGCAACATAGCATTCGTATATAGTTACAAACACAACGCAACAAATCTATGGTTATTACACACACAACACAACAAATCAATGGTTATTACACACAAAATACAACGAATCTATGGTTATTACACACACAACACAACAATTCTATGGTTATTACACACACAACACAAAAAATCTATGGTTATTACACACAATACAACAATTCTACATCATTACATACCCAACACAACGAATCTATGCCCATTTTATACATAACACAAGTCTATAGTCCTCATTGTTACATACACAACAATGCTACAATCATTACATACACAACACAGTAAATATATGGCCATTTCAACCGCAACACAACAATTCTACGACATTTCATACACAGCACAACAATTCTACAATAATTACATACGTAACACACTAACTATATGGCCATTTCGTACACAACATAATTCCATAGTCCTCATTGTTACATACACAACACAATAAAAAAAAAATTCTCACCCAACAATTGTATGGGTCCAACATGATTTTCTTTCGCACGCTCTCCCTATTTTTATCTCTCCTACGCAATCTTTTACAGACTTACAATCAATACTGAAATCGATTTACTTATAAAGGTTATGGAGTGACTGTTTCAGTAGCATCTCCCTTGGGGATAGGAGTTTGACCTCTGACCTCTTGTCTGGCTTTGTGCTTGCTCGTTGACACAACAGTCCAATAATGACCTTCAGCCACACGGTGTACCCGACCGTGATCACATGACCTTAACATACTCTGACGTATATGTGTTTTACTGTTGTAAATGTCTCTGTCCTTATTTGGTATAGACGTTATATGGGTTTT